CCGGGTCCCCGCTTTCCCACGTGGGTCCCTTGTCACTTTCCCGGTCCCCCGGCCGGTTTCGGGGCACAGGGGCACCGGGTGGAGGGCGGGCCTGCCACCTGTGTCCGCGTTGGGAAGCCTGGCCTTACTGCCCGGCAGGTGTTGGCACTGCCTCCACCCGGAGGGCGAGCATTACAGCTGCGGCTGGGACATTCCTTTCTTTTCTGAGTAGTAAGAGGAACGGCGCTACCTTTTGCTCCACCCCTTGGGAACACCGTGTTGGTGGAACTGTTCGTGCCTTCTTGCTAGGAGTTCGCTGGTGGAAGCATGTATTTCTGCCTTTACTCTTTCCCCGAAGGATGCTAGCAAGGCTCCGCTCATGCCAGACACGTCCTCAATTTCAGGCTGAGTCAGTGGCTTGGCGAGAAGGGGTGGACTTTTTTTTTAAAGTTTAGATTCCTAAATTTATCCCTGAAGTTGTAGGTCTCTTCATGGAGCCGACCACTGGTGCTGATGTTGACTACATCTATTGAAAAAAGAAAGCGTAGGTTATAATTTTAATTATAAAAATATGGAAAGAGTATATATGAGTGAGTACATAGGTATGTGTACATGTACACATGTACACTTCAACATACGGTATTTGCATTTTTGATAAGAGGTGTTTATTCACTAGCATCAGATTTATTGTTTTGGGTTCTCACTAAGCATGTGGAGAGTTACAGGTTTTTCCCAAGTACCGCACATAACTGAACGGATGAGCAGAGAAAAACTTTGTGGTATTACTTTTTTTCTGATCCCTTAAAGATGACCTAAATTTCTTAATCATAAATTACTACCCCTTTGTGGACAACTACAAACAGAATATTTTGTTAGTTCAGGATTTTGTATGTAGTATTGGAGACTATTAGATCATGCAAAGTATAAATGCAAAAATTCACACACATTTACCATAGTTCATCTGTATAGAGATGGTAGTCATAATCCTCTTAATGATGTCAAGGATTATAAACAGTTTCAACTAGCTTTAACATGTTAACTTTTACTGTAACTTTTTTTGTAACCTGTTATAAATGTGCTTCATTTTGTCCTTAGGTGTTGAATGGGGGTTGGTGTTTCCTGATGCGAATGGGGAGTACCAGTCTCCCATTAACCTGAATTCAAGGGAAGCCAGATATGACCCCTCACTGCTGGATGTCCGCCTCTCGCCAAATTACGTAGTCTGCCGAGACTGTGAGGTCACCAATGATGGACATACCATTCAGGTTATCCTGAAGTCAAAATCAGGTATTTTAGAAGATGCTCTGCATACTCTCGTAAATTCAAGTCCTCTTGGGGCTGTTGAACTCTCCTTTAGCTTGCATGACCTTAAAGGTAGAACTAGCATAGCTCTATTGTCAGGTACCCTTATATGTTACAGGGTGCATTTTGGGGAATTATTTTTGAAAGGATGAAGTTATGAAGATGCCAGTTTGGTTGTTCTACGTTGTATGATGTTACTCGAACAATCTTAGTTGGTCAACTTACACCCTGTGGGATTTGTGGGTAGGTGTACACAGGTGTATCAATCTGCATTTTGTCCTAAATTGTTGATTAGCTTAAATCATTTGGATAATTATAATTCTTTGTTTTACTGCATTGTAAAACTAAAGATTAGGATTTATTGACATTATCTGGCATTTAATATAGACTTTCCAAATTTATTTTTTCTACTATGTTAATGACAAGAACATTTTTAATGAATAGCAATCAAAAATATCCTCTAAATTCAGCAAAAGATTTAACTAGTAAACACAGCTTTTGCTTTTATGTATTTATTTTATTTTTAAACTCCCCTTCTCCCCATCTGAACCTATTTGAGATGGATCTGAAATGTTTTGTAAAAAGGGTGTTGGGCAGTTACCAAGGGAATTGGTTTTTAGCCTAAATGCAGGGAAGAGGAAAACGATTCTAAAAATTAGCATTAATGTTATGCTATTCATAGTGAATAGTTACTTATTTCCCTCTTAGAAAGAGTGTAAAATTAGAAATGATAGGAAGTGCTTACTAGAGACCAACTGTGCTCAAATTCTGGATCAATAAGTTTGATATTTTAAAACATAAAATCTTGAGATTACTTAGTAGGCCGGGCAGGTATTGAAGAGCAACTATGGCTTTTTCACTCATTGTGAATGTTCCTGAGCTTTAATTTAGAAGCCGTGAGGTAGTCAGAGGTTCATGCAGCCTTCTCTGCCTTTCTGAGGTCAAAGTATGGGCATTGCCCAAAACAGAGTCTAGGTTGCATGTGTACTTAGAGAGACAGCTTCAGATGCAAATTTGAATTTAAATCAGAGTATTTGTGTAGGGGGGAGTTACCTATGCAGGGACATTATGTATTATTATTATTATTATTATTTTAAAATATATTTTTATTGATTTTAGAGAGGAAGGGAGAGAGAGAGAGACAGACAGACACATCAGTGATGAGAGAGAATCACTGAGTGGCTGCCTCCTGCACGCCCCACACTGGAGATCAGCCCGCAACCCAGGCATATGCCTGGCCAGGAATCTCAAACCGTGATCTCCTGGTGTATAGGTTGATGCTCAACTACTCAGTCACTCTGACCGGTACAATATGTATTCTTTTAAAAATGTACTGAATACGGACTTCTGACCTATAAAAACATTTTAAGGTAATACATGTGTGTTGGTGTATTGACATGCTTTTGTACTGCTGGAAAGACAATATTTCTATGTCTGTACAACAGAAATGCATTTCCTGTCAGGCACCACTGTGAGTCAGTGTTGGTTGTATATAGATGGACAAGTTGGTTCTTGAGGATTCATAGTTTAGTAGGAACACAATCCTTTAAAGTACTAGTGTTAACACGACAATGGTGTTAGAAAGCTTTATGAGAGCACAGAGGAATGACTGAGTACAAATGCTGTCAGTTCAGACACAGCGTGCGTCTGTCCTGCTCTAAGATCAAATTTACTTGATCAAATTGTGGTTAACATTTTCTTCTGGTAACTTCTCAAACACTTCCCTTGGCCGCCTCAAAAAAGAGATTGGCCAGCACTGTGTTGGCCCTCTCACCTCAGGTATGTGTCTTCCTCAATAGAAAGCTTATGAGAGCACAGAGGAATAATGACTGAGTACAAATGCTGTCAGTTAAGACACAGCGTGCGTCTGTCCTGCTCTAAGATCAAATTTACTTGATCAAATTGAGGTTAACATTTTCTTCTGGTAACTTCTCAAACACTTCCCTTGGCCGCCTCAAAAAAGAGATTGGCCAGCACTGTGTTGGCCCTCTCACCTCAGGTATGTGTCTTCCTCAAGTAGCTTTCTTTGCCGGTTGATTCTTCTCCATCCTCCACCCCTGATCACTGAGGAAGAGCCGTCTGTTGGTCTGTCTAGGCCTGTTTTGGATACACAGGCCCCAGACCCCTTCCTCCTGTCTCCTCAGGAGAAACTCGCTCCTTCAGATGCCCCATCTCCGTTCTGCCTCTATGATAACTTCTTCAGTGTTTCCCCAAACTTAAAGTAACAAAAAGTTCCATGTCTGGACCAGTTTGTTTATTTATTTTTCTAGGATATTTGAGCTTCTTAAAGGGATAGGCTGCAAGCCCAAACCCCCTGCCATTCATTTATTTAATGCAAGTTTTATCAAAATAGAGTCTAAATATAATTGAAATAGTTGACTCTACTGTATTTCTCTCTGCCTCGGGGTATAACCTGCTCCTCCCACCTAACACTCTTTGTCCTGGTGATAATCGCTTTCAGCCCTTAGCTGTTTCTCCTACTATCACCGCCATTCTTCTTAATACCAGAAGAGCACTGGGCTCCCTTTTCTGAAGATGAGGTCAGTTCTGTTATTCCCCTCCCACATCGTGGTTTGCTCCCCATTGTCCCTATACTTAAATTATAATTTCTACTTAAGTTAATACTCAGTGTTCTTCTTCTTATGATTGTGTAGCTATTATTTCTGGCTGAGATTATAGTCTGTTTTCTTTACTGAATAATATGTCCCGTCCCCCCCTAGAGTTAATGTATTTTTGTTTTTTTACTTTTTAAATTGATCTTTCATGATTTCATTTTCAAAGTCTCTGACAGATGGCAGATCTCCCTGGATACTGACACAGATCAGGTTATCCTTCCCTCCCTCTCATCCATTCTTCCTCCCCCACCCTCCAGGCCTCTCTTCCATCTATTCCTGCCCGGCTGGTCCCCTCGCTCTCCAGGCCTGCTGCACGGCCATGCCCTGCCGCTCCCTGGAACCCAGGCCCAGGAAGTCCCTGTGCTTGTCTCCCGTGTCCAATCCTGTGTTTTCTAGATGCTGTGACATCCCTCATTTCAAGGAGTGTTCTAGGTTTATTCCCTTCTGCAGTTCATCCTCTAGTAACCTCCCGAGAAGAAGGGCACGTGAGGGTAAATGGTGGGAGACCTGTGTGTTTGCACGTGTCTCACTTGTATGGAGTTGGCCTGGGCAAAGCAGCCCCTGCTGGAACGGTTCACCCTCAGATATCTGATGTCACTGCTGCATTACCAAGAGCTCTTCTGCCCTCCAGGGTTGCTGTCGAAAGGTCTAGTGACACCTGCTCGTTAACTCTTTTATATGACCTTTTCCCTCTTTTAGAAGCTTTACCGTTTTCCTCTCTGTGGCGATTGCTTTGAGATTTTACAACCCTATGCTTTGGTGTGGTTCTTTTTTCACTCTCTGTGCTGGGTACTAGGTGGGCCGCTTCAAATCAGGATTTCTCAGAAGTTTTCTTATATTATTTCATGGGTAAGTGTTCTGTTTTTTCCTTCTTATCTTCTTTCAATCACTCTTATTTTTTGTTTGTCTTTTTCTTCTACTTTCTGTAGTGTCCTCAACGTATATCTTTTAGATTTCCTACTGAACTTTTAACTTCTGCTAGTTATTTTTAATTTCTAAAAAGTTGTGCTTATCCTAGGAATTGTTTTAATTTTTAACATCCAGTATCCAGCATTTATTTCATGAGTGCAGAATCTATCTCCATTCTTTTCTGTATTGTTTTTTCTTTTTTTAAAAAAAAATCTTTATTGTTGAAAGTATTACAAATATCCCCTTTTCCCCCCATTGACCTCTCCTAGCCCTCTCCCGCCCCCACCCCCAGGGCTTCACCACCCTACTGTCTGTGTCCATGGATTATACATATATGCGTACAAGGTCATTGTATTGCTTTTTTTTCTCCATCACGTGTTTGTTTATTCTGGGTTCCTTCTTCTGTTTGTTTTGCTCTCTTTTGTTATTGGAGGTTTTCCTCAAATGTCTAGTGATTGCTGGCTCATGGTTCATTTTTAGGAATGGGTTTGAAGAGGGGATTAGAAGCTCTGTGAGCCTGGGCAGGAATGTGGCCTGGTGGACGTCACAGGAGTGTGATGAGGTAGGGACCTGGCATGTTGTAGGAGGAGCCTTTGTAGGTTTTGTCTGTTTCTCTGGGGCAGGGCGCGTGGCAGCTCACAGCTGGCTTTTCGAAGCTGGTTACTGACCGCAGGCAGGAGTGTCACCAGAGTGCACATCTGTGACAGCTGGTGACCCTGCACTAACACATCATCATCTGCGGAAGTCCACAGCTTACCTGAGGGGTCACCGAGGTGTGGTGCACTCTCTGGGTTGGAACAGATGGAGATGACATGTCTCCATCCCTGTGGTGTCATTCAGAGCAGTTTCACTGCTCTCAGATCCTCTGTGCTCCTCCTGTTCCTCCCTCTCTTCCCAGCCCCGGGCAGCCACAGATCTTTTTACTGTGGTTGTCAGTGGCCTGGTCTCCATTGTCTCACCTTTTCCAGAATGTCACATAGTAGGAATCATACAGTATGTAGCCTATTCAGTTTGACTTCTTTCTCTTAATAATATACATTTATGCTTTCTTGGGTGCTGCCTTTTTAAATAGAAGATTCATAGAATAAGCACAGTTATTTTAAGAAATCAAACTCATTTCATACACACCACCCCACTGAAATGTCTGGCCTCACGGAGGCTGTCAGTGGCCTAGGCTTCTTTGTTCTTTTTTTCTGTTTTCTTTGTTTGTTTGTTGTTGCTTTGTTTATAGTAAACAATAAAGAATTGCCAAAAAGAGTGACAAAAGTTGTAGCATAATTTAAATGGTGACACCTATTAAGTTAAAGCTTTTAACATAATCCTGATGATATAGTGCCTGTATATAAACCCATCTGGATATATTGCCTTACTTTAAACTTGAGGCATGCCCTGAGCATGAGCCCTCCACTCCCAACCCGCTGCTGGAGCTCCCAAACCAAGGCCATTGCTGATCTTCTCATC